AAAACGCAGTGCAAAACTAAACATAAACACAGTGCAAACAAACCAAACCACCCACAGATAACAATACATACAATACAAGAGTAGTCAGGCAGGCCGGGTCAGTAGCAAACGGGCAAACGGAGTACCAGGAACAGGCGGGAGAGTGGTCGGGGTCACAAGCTGGGTTCAGTAACTCACGGGCAGTGCGGTACAGAGGGTCGGGCAGAGAATGGTCAGGGTCACAAGCCAGGGATCAAGCAGGAGAAGTCAGCTGAGGTCAGGATCAGGCAGGGTTGGCAACAAGTCAGACAGGAACAGGAATACAGGATACAAGATACAGGGACCCATGGAAGCACACACCAAGGCCCTGACTGTGAGTCTGGCCATTCCTTAAATACAACCTCTGCAATCAGCTTCAGGTGTTTGGCTGACTGCAGGGGTGAGTCTCTGATTGCTGAGAGCACCCGCTGGCCAGCCCTGGTACTGCAGCCCACAAGGCAGGTGAGTCCCACCATTATTGGCAAGTCCATTCCTGACAGGCGAGGAATCAAGAGTCAGGTCAGGAACAAGCCGGGTCAGCACCAAAGGAATCACACAGGAACACAGCAGGACATGGGGGACAGCTGAAGACCAGTCAGCACTAAGCACAGACAGAGGCACCCTTTAAATAGTCCGTCTTGTGCCAAGATTCGCCGATCGCGCACATCTGGTCACTATTCTCCGGATTTCCTTGCACATGCGCATTTCTATTTGCCAGCCGTCTCACAGTAATTCCCTTGACACTATATTAAAGCTACATTAGAAAAAAAAAAACCTGTTTATTAGTGATTTTCAAACAGACATCAAGAAAATAAACAAACAAGCATACACCCACGCAGGGGCGGCATGGAACGACTAGTATACATGCATGGAGTATTCCTGTATAACATAAAACACAACCATGTGTGGCCCAGGGTTCACCCTTTGAGGACCAAGGGACGTATTTGTCCCATGTTTTTAATTGCCTGTATCATCTGATTAAGAACTTAAAATACTTCTTTTTTTTTTTTTTTTTTTGGTTTCAGTCAAAATATTATTTCTTATCAACAAATGGATCTACCTTTTTGCCAGTTATTTCATGAAATGGCTTAGTTACAGCAACTGAAGTGTACGAACTTTAAAAAATTGATTCTTTTGGCGTTCTGTAATCTTATGGTCCTCAAAGGGTTAATAACAGTAAATGCAGAATAAATCACAGGAGGGAAAAAATATCAATCGGTGGATGAAAGATACATTTTAATGTAGCTCTGTATTCATCAATACATCATTAACTAGTTCCAGACTTTGGACGTGCTACACATGTCCAAAACACTTCATTGTACACAGGACCTGTGTAGCACGCCCAATCTCTCTGCCCTGCTTCGAGGACCCTCCCTCCCAGTATACAGCAATTTCCAGCTTTGGTTATTCAAAACTGGCATTCATGTATACCCAGAGAAAGTATTGGCAGCTGTAAGCAGTCTGTGTTTATAACTAGCACTGCTCAGATGTGAATATACAAAGATACAAAGGTAACAATAATAACATGTTGTTTCTTTTGTATCATTCTGTTCATTTATCTGCAGATCAAAGGAATGAACTTATTAGATCTGTAAATGTCAGTTACAGAAACCTGACAAGTAGAAAAAGAATTGTTTGCCAGTTTTTTAATAAAATGTTCCTTTGTTTAACCTCATTAACCCTTAGTTTACTCTAATCCTTCCTAATTAACGTATTCTCTTTCTCCCTTCAACTATTATTTTCCTTCTGATTTTTTTCTGTTTATTAACTATTAACATTTAGACTATTTTTACACATGTAACATATATTTACACTTTTCCCATTTAACCACTTGAGCTCCAAAAGGTTTTGCTCCCTTCATGATCATGCCAGGCGTTTTTTTTTTGCTATTCGGCACTGCGCTGCTTTAACTGGCCATTGCACGGTCATGCAAAACTGTACCGCTGGGTAATTTATATTTTATCATATAAAGAAAAATGGAATTTTAAAAAACGCACATCGCTGCACTCTGTAGAGAGCCCTGTGTTTGCCAACATGGATTGTCTCCTGTCATTCGCTGAGCCGATCAGCGGGTTTCAGCCATAAATCATTGGCCGGGACCCGCTGATGGGCATGTGCTGCAGCAAATGACAGCACAGCCAGGGTGGTGGGCGACAGCACTCCCTCTACCTGAAAGAGCCGGATTATGTACGTGATCCAACGCAGGGGGGGCTGCTCTGCCGCAGTAGAGTTGTTGCAGGCAGCCAGGAAATGGTTAAAAAACAGCATAAAATTGAAAAAAAAAAAAACAGCTTTGTTTCATTTGTAAATAACTTTGCAATGCTTTGTACCAGAATCATAATTTTAGGGTCATTTTTAAATAGGACACATTGCAGAATAAAATGCAAATTTTTATGTGCAGTAACACAATTTATTTTTTTAAACAAACACTGCTTAAAAAGAAAAAATAAATGCGTTTTGTTTCATTTAATTGTGTTGTATTGTTTAAGGACAATCATTGTTGCAAGACAATAACATGAAAAGAAAGCCTTGTTTGTCCTTAAAAACAATATATGTACAGAGCCTTGGAAAAGTGTTCTTATGCCTTGAAATTTTCCACATTTTGTCATGTTACGACCAAAAACGTCAATGTATTTTATTGGGATTTGATGTGATAGACCAGTGGTCGGCAAGCCGCGGCTCGCGAGCCACATGCGGCTCTTTGCACACTTTAATGCAGCTCTTCTGTGTGCCGGGCGCCCGCTCCCCTCCCTCCTCTCGGGCGGCCGCCCCAAAAGTCAGGACTCTGCAGCTAGCCCAGCAATGGGCAAACTACAGCCCGGCGGACCTTTTAATCCGGCCCGCGGAGCGTGGCAAACATTGGCTGTCAGGATGTAGGCGGGGCAGCGTGACGAACTCCTCTCCTCTCACAGTCCGCCCTGAAGACCGGAACGGCGCGGGAACACGGCGAGAGGAACGCGCGGAGCAAAGGTAAGTGAATTGACAAAATATGGGGAATGAATTACTATGGGGGATGAATTACTATATGGGAGATGAATTACTATGGGGGAGGAATTACTATATGGGGGATGTATTACTATATGGGGGATGAATTACTATAGGGGGGATGAATTACTATAGGGGGATGAATTACTATATGGGGGATGAATTACTATATGGGGGATGTATTACTATGGGGGATGAATTACTATATGGGGGATGAATTACTATGGGGGGATGAATTACTATATGGGGGATGAATTACTATATGGGGGGATGAATTACTATGGGGGATGAATTACTATGGGGGATGAATTACTATGTGGGGATGAATTACTATAGGGGGGATGAATTACTATATGGGGGATGAATTACTATATATGGGGGATGAATTACTATGTGGGGGATGAATTACACTATGGGGGATGAATTTCTATATGGGGGATGAATTACTATATGGGGGATGAATTACTATATGGGGGATGAATTTACTATGGGGGATGAATTACTATATGGGGGATGTATTTTCAGTTTTAAAAATGTGGCTCTCAAAATAAATTTCAATCGTGGTTTTTGCGAGATTTGGCTCAGTTGAAAAAAAAGGTTGCCCACCACTGTGATAGACCAACACAAAGTGGCACATAATTGTGAAGTGGAAGGAAAATGATAAATGGTTTTCAAAAATGTTTACAAATAAATATCTGAAAGTGTGGTGTGCCTTTGTATTCAGCCCCCTTTACTCTGATACCCCTAACTAAAATCTAGTGGAACCAATTGCCTTCAGAAGTCACCTAATTAGTAAATAGAGTCCCCCTGTGTGTCATGTGATCTCAGTATAAATACAGCTGTTCTGTGAAGCCCTCAGAGATTTGTTGGAGATCATTAGTGAACAAACAGCATCATGAAGGCCACATAACACACCAGGTAGGTCAGGGATAAAGTTGTGGAGAAATTTAAATGGGGTTAAGGTGTTAAAAAAATATCCCAAGCTTTGAGCATCTCATGGCGCACTGTTCCATGCATCATCTAAAAATGGAAGGAGTACGGCACAACTGCAAACCTATCAAGACATGGCCATGCACCTAAACTGACAGGCCGGGCAAGGAGAGCATTCATCAGTGAAGCCGCGTGCTCCTGGGGAGCGCGCACAGGCCGGGAATCGGGGAGGATGTTTATAAACAGCCACCCGCTCCTGCAATGCTCCCAACCGGCCGTTTATATACAAGGGCCGGACGGGAAGTGGTTAAACCATTCTTGAACACAGGTCACAGTGGCACTCTGACCGGTCTGCGGATACACAGCCCCATACACAACAAACTACAATGCTCTGTGTGTTCTCACACCTTTCTATCGGAACCAGCAGTAACATTTTCAGCAATTTGAGCCACAGTAGCTCTTCTATTAGATCAGACTTAACAGGCCAGCCTTCATTCCGCATGTGCATCAATGAGCCTTGGCCACCTACAACCCTGTCACTGGTTTTCCTTCCTTGGACCTCTTTTGGTCGGTTCTGACCACTGCAGGCTGGGAACATCCCACAAGAGCTGCAGTTCTGGAGTTGCTCTGACCCAGTTGTCTAGCCTTGTCACAGTTGCTCAAATCCTTACACTTACCCATTTTTTCCTCTTTAACTAGTTGCCGACCGCAGATAGCCGAATGACGGCTACATTGCGGCCGGCCAGTTCTGGGTGGACGTCATATGACGTCCTCCCAGAAAGCGCTCTCGGGTGCGCGCGCACCCGGCGATCTCCGTGATCGCTGTGTCCTACGGACACAGCTGATCACGTGATGTGCTAAAAGGCCAATCACAGCGGCCTTTTACCACGTGATCAGCCGTGTCCAATGACACGCTGATCAGAGGGAAATGCAAGTGCCGGTTCTCGGCTGCACTTTCCTCACGCTGTCAGATCGTGAGGAAGGTACTGCCGAGAACCGGCAGTTGTCAGAGCAGGGATCGGCACCGATCATCAGGGCACTGATGATCAGTGCCTTGATGATCGGTGCCCAGCAGTGCCACCCACAAGTTCCGCCCACCTGTGCCCAGCAGTGCGCCCACTAGCTCCGCCCACCTGTGCCCAGCAGAGCACCCACCTGTGCCCAGCAGTGCACCCACCTGTGCCACTCTGCAGTGTCACACACCTGTGCCCAGAATTGCCACCTACCTGTGCCCAGCAGTGCCACCCACCAGTGCCATCCACCTGTGCCCACCAGTGCCACCCACCTGTGCCCGCCCACCAGTGCAGCCCAGCAGTGCTACTAGTCAGTGCCACCAGCCAGTGCCTAGGAGTGATGCCAGTCAGTACCGTCTATCAGTACCCATCATCAGTGTCACCTATCAGTGCCGCCTATCCGTGACACCTCATTAGTGCTGCCTATCAGTGCCGCCTATCCGTGCCACCTCATTAGTACTGCCTATCAGTGCCCTTTAGTGCTGCCTATCAGTGCCCATCAGTGCAGCCTCATCAACGCACATCAGTGAAGGAGAAAAATTACCTGTTTGAAAAATTTTATAATAGAAACAAAGAAACTTTTTTTTTTTTTTTCAATTTTTTTGTTTATAGCGCAAAAAGTAAAGCGCCCAGTGGCGATTAAATACCACCAAAAGAAAGCTCTATTTGTGAGAAAAAAATTATCAAAATTTCATATGGGTACAATGTTGCATGACCGCGCAATTGTCAATCAAAGTGTGGCAGCGCTAAAAGCTGAAAATTGGCCTGGGAAATAAGGGGGTATAAGTGCCTGGGGGGCGAGGGGTTAAACACATCAACTTCAGGGACATGATGTTTACTTGCTGCCTAATATAGCTCACTGACATTCAGATGCCATTGTAATGAGATAATCAGTGTTATTCACCTAACCTGTTAGTGGTAATAGTTATAGCAAAGGCTATTATATCCACCAGTGGTCTCCTACCAGTTGCTGGAATAAAATATACGCAGGACTAATAGAAACATATAACAAAGATGTAATCATCATCATAAAGTAATTCAAATTTCCTTCTGAGACCATGGGGGTGCAGGGTGTCCTAGCTGAAATTTAGGTTGTGCCATAGTATACCTTTCCTGTATATAGTGGCTTCCTACCACCTTAACAGCAACCTGCAAAAGGCATCTAATGCAGTGGACAATAAACTCTGAATTTCATGTGAAATGGTCACATATAGCAAAGGATTGTCGAATGTCGCCCCATCCTATGCAAGAGGCCTGTGAAGAGGCGTTTGTCTACACAAAAACACTGCTGCAATGGCATGTTTGCCTGTGGTTTAGGCAAGGGGTCTCCACACTTTCTAGACAAGGGGCCCATTTATTGCCCTTCAGACTTTAGGGGGACTGGACTGTGGCTAGTGGGAGTAGACAATGCCCTGGTATCAGTAGGAGTAAATAATGCCACATGTAGTGGGAGGAATAGTGCCCCATAATTGGTATCAGTGGGTGGAAACGTGCCCCATCATTGGTATCAGTGGGAGGAATAGTGCTCCATCGTTGGTGTCAGTGGGAGGAATAGTGTCCCATCATTGGTATCAGTGGGAGGAATAGTGCTCCATCGTTGGTGTCAGTGGGAGGAATAGTGTCCCATCATTAGTATCAGTGGGAGGAATAGCGCCCCATCATTGGTATCAGTGGGGAGAAATAGTGCCCCATCATTGGTGTCAGTGGGAGGAAACGTGCCCCATCATTGGTATCAGTGGGAGGAATAGTGCCCCATCATTGGTGTCAATGGGAGGAATAGTGCCCCATCATTGGTATCAGTGGTGGGTGGAAAAGTGCCCCATCATTGGTATCAGTGGGTGGAAAAGTGCCCCATTGTTGGTGTCAGTAGCAAGAATTATGCCCCCATGTTGGTGCCAGTAGGAGGGGCTGGATAAAGGCAAACAAAGGGTCGCATTTTGGAGACCACTAGTCGTAGATATATTGATGATATATTCATGCAAATAGTATTTAAAAAATGAGCAGTGCATGTTTTTGTTACTACAGCTCTCCTACACTACTTCTTTTCAGCTGCAAGCTAACCTCAATCTTTTAGGTTGAATGACCGCCACTGTCTTTTAACCCACTTCCTCTGATTCCAGGCTGTCATGGACCCGCCCCCCAGCCTGTGAATGGACAGTTTCTGAAACACTATCTTTCTCTGCAGGGCTTCGACAATGGAACATTCCAGGTTAAGGTCAATGTCTATGCCAGTAACAAAGACTCAAAAGGAACATTCCCAGTGCCTTATGATCTACCTCCAGAACGCTATACGGGTAAAGGTAGGTGATGTTAATAATATAGTCATGCCTTAGAATATCGTTTTTTTTTACGTTTCATGTTTTTTTAATGACCCTTTAACAGGTCTTTAAAGTGGTAGTAAACCACCCAAAAAAAAAAACCATAATAACGGACCCCTGCAGATTTAGGTCATAATGTACTAGTGTGCACCACATACTAGTAGATTATGACAGACCTACCTGTATACGGAGACCTCTAGCGTCCCGCTGTCCTGGCTCCCCGGCTCCGCCATCTTCACCCTGTCTTCCTTACTGGTTCATGGGCTCCAGCAGTATGAATGGGCGGAGCCGCGATAACATCACTCCCACGCATGTGCATGGGACCCCTTTGCTGCAGCATGCAGCTCTGAAGGTCCAGCATGCTTGGCCACCCTTTCAGAACGCATGCACTGGTGACACTGTGTGAATATCTCCTAAACACTGAAAGTTTAGAAGATATTCGCTGTAGGTACAGGTAAGTGTTATTACAGGCTTACCTATGGGTACAACTTAGAGTGCTCTTTACTTCCACTTTATTGTCCCTCTCCAAGGGTAGGGTTTAAAGGCAGCCCAGTCTGAACTGGGCCATGTGACTGGACTGTACATGTGATTTCCATCTCATTTCAATCATGAAGAGCAAAATAAATGAACTACGAAAACGAACCTGGCACAAACAACTCTTCCTCTCAGTTTGGGGTCTTTCAGACCTCTCTGACTGGTGACACGCAATAGATTCTGTGAAAGCCGTGGCGTTATGAAAGCGCATTATGCCGAGGACCAATTTTCGGAGTCTGGAGGAAATTGGCATGCATTCTCATTATATTTCAGCATTGTGTTCCTGTGTCGCACAATGCATCACATTTTAAGGTTTCCTCCAGATAGATGAAGATTAGATTACCATCATTTTCTGAAAAGAAAAACACAGAGCTGCTTTGTCAGATTTGTCAAGTTCTAAGAGGATTTTTTTTTTATATATGTGTATGAAAGTTAGTTGACAAAGTTATTTTGTGAGCTTTGAACTGACTGGTGTTTTCTTCTCCATATTGATAACATTCATTCAGGTATACTATTCCTTCCTTTTTTCCCTCCTCTTCTCTCCCAACCTCTCATCTCTTTTTCTCTCTCTTCCTCTCCCCTCCTTTTTTCTATCTGCCTCTCACTTTGTCTTCTTTTACTTCTTTTGCCCTTCCGCTTCTCTCCTTTTTCCTCCCTGCCTCTCTCTTCCTTGCCTTTCCCTTCATTACCTCTCCCTTCTTTCTTCTCCTCTTCCCGCCTCTCCCTCTCTTCTCTCTTTCTCTCCTCTCATCCTTCCCTACCCTCCCTCCTCTTATTTCTACCTGCTTCCTTTCCTTTCCTTTTTCCTCCCTGTCCCTCCCTTCCTCAGCTTTCTCTCGCCTCGCCTCTCTCTTCCCTCGCCTCTCTCTTCCTCGCCTCTCTCTTCCTCGCCTCTCCCCTCGCCTCTCCCGTCCTCGCCTCTCCCTCGTCCTCCCTCGCCTCTCCCTTCCCTCGCCTCTCCCTTCCTTCGCCTCTTCCCTCTTCCTCGCCTCTCTCCTCCGCCTCTCCCGTCCTCGCCTCTCCCTCGTCCTCGCCTCTCCCGCCTCTCCCTCCTCGCCTCTCCCGTCCTCGCCTCTCCCGTCCTCGCCTCTCCCGTCCTCGCCTCTCCCGTCCTCGCCTCTCCCGTCCTCGCTCTTCTCCCGCCTCTCCCGTCCTCGCCTCTCCCGTCCTCGCCTCTCCCGTCCTTTCTTCTCCCGTCCTCGTCTCTCCTCTCCCGTCCTTTCTTCTCCCGTCCTCGTCTCTCCCGTCCTCGCCTCTCCCGTCCTCGCCTCTCCCGTCCTCGCCTCTCCCGTCCTCGCCTCTCCCGTCCTCGCCTCTCCCGTCCTCTCTCTCCCGCCTTCTCCTCTCCCGCCTCCCGCTCTCCTCTCCCGCCTTCCCGTCCTCTTCCCGTCCTCGCCTCTCCCGTCTCGCCTCTCCCGCCCTCGCCCTCTCCCGCCCTCTCCCGCCTCTCCCTTCCGTCCTCGCCTCTCCCGTCCTCGCCTCTCCCGTCCTCTCTCTCCGTCCTCTCTTCTTCCGTCCTCGTTTCTCTCCTCTTCCATCCCCGCCTCACCTTTTTTTCTTCCCTCCCTACTTCTCTTCTCATTTCTACTCCCTTCCTCTTCTATCCTCTCCTTTTCCCTCTCTGCCTCCCACTTCCTCTCCTCTCTCTTACCGTCCTTTCCAATTCTTTCCCTTCATTGCCCCTCCCCTCCTCTTTCTTTCCTATTTCTCCCTTCATCTTCTCTCTTTCTTCTCCTTCTCTACCTCCTCCCTGCTTCTCCCTTCCTTTCATTTTTTCATAAATTTAGGCCAAAATGTATTCTGCTATAAGTCTTTGGTAAAATAAAAATCCCAATAAGTGTATATTAATTGATTTGTGTGAAAGTTATTGCGTCTACAAATATTGATCTATATATTGGAAAATTGATCAGTTCTGATCATGAGTCCCTAAAATGCCAGGACAGCACAAATACCCCCCAAATGACCCCTTTTTGGAAAGTAGACTGTCTGAAGTATTTAGGAAAGAGGCATGGCGAGTTTTTTTAAACTGTTTTTTTTTGTCACAATTTTTTTGAAAATGAAGAAATTAAATACAATTTGTTTTTTTTTTTTTTTTACATAGTTACCAGTGCAGTACAGCATCATCATCAGGGATACTGACTGGTGACAGTATGAAAAAAAAAAAAAAATTTTTTGATTACATTTTCTAAATATTGTTTTAATGTATTATTTTTTTTTTTTTTTTTTTTTTACATTTTTTTTTTCACATCCTGTCATCAGAGTAGTTCAGTGTTGATTACTGCCACATTGATAATCATTGTAACAACAAAGCTTTGAACTGTCATAAATGGGTTTTATTCATAACAGCTGTGATTACTATTGTGATATGTGATTGGCCCACAGCTATCAGACAGTACAGGGTGCTATTATTGACCCAGGTACAATGTGAGCCAATCACAGCATCGCAATACTAAGCACGACTGTTATAAATGAAACCCATTCATTACAGTTTTGCTGACACTGAGATCGTTACATTGCATAGCGATCATGTGACATTCCGGAAGCTCAGAACGGTTGGTTGTTCCGATCTGCAAACCTCTGGACACAGTGGTCGTGGGAGGGGCACACCAGCGTGCATGTGCTAAGTGACGTACGAGTACATGGCTTGGCCTGCCCATGCCATCCGCCCCCAGTAAATGTACTTTAGGACGACGGGAAGAGTTAATTTGTTTCTATTATACTTACTTAGGGTTCAGCTCTAAAGTAGAACTATAGGCAAAACTTTTTTTTTTGAGGGTGGGACCCTCAAACCATGTTTTTTTTTTTTTTTTTTCGTTTGTTTTTTTTTTTTGTTTGCCATCTGTGTCCCATTGGGGAGATTTATCTCCACTTCCTGTCCCAAACAGGAAGTGAGAGGAAATCCCCCTAAAGTAAGGGAATTCCTTGCTCTCCCCCTTCCCCCCACGTCACCAGAACTAGTGTCCCCATTGGAAGAGTTCACCTCTATTACTTTTCTGTGGACAATCCAAAATGTGGGATTTTCTTTTACTTTTACTTTCAATAACCGTGGTAAACAGGACAGAGGGAGGGTGAATCTCTCTCTAACAGGGGCACGGACAGAAATTGGTGCTCTGATCTATCTCCACTCTGTCCAAAACTAGAAAAAAAAGTTTTGCCTTTAGTTATACTTTAAGAACTTCTATCTTGTTAATAAATTTGCCCCCAATAATTGTTTGGTAGGGGCACTGACTGTAATGTCTGACATACATACACCCACCGGCCACTTTATTAGGGACACAGAAGAGGATGAAACAGGAAGGCGCTTCTAAGTGGTGCAGTATATCCAGATGGACTAGTATTCGGCTCCACCTAGTCTTTGGCATCGGTCTTGAAGAAGGAGCTCTGTGCATGCTGCGAAACGCGTCACCGCTTCACGCCCGTTCCACACCCACGTCGCTTCCGGATGCGGTCTCCTGGACAAGCGTGCGTTCCAGCGACCCTGGAACTCGCAGCGGCCATCTTGGACATCCTGTCTTCAGCTCCCCCTGGAGCTGCTGGTTGGCACAGCGGGTTCTCGCACGGTGGATAGAGCCCCCGCATCCTGCCGGATTTTACGGAGCCTGTTTTTGCTGCAAGTTTGTAAGTGTTTTTTAACTGTTGTCATTAAAGTTCATCTGGATATACTGCACTTAGAAGCGCCCTCCTTGTTTCATCCTCTTCTACATACAGAGTCTGCATCAACTCCCAGAAGTGCTGCCCAGTGCCTGTGTTCCAGTTCCTCTTCCATCTTTGGCTGACATCTCTCTGTCCACAGCCTCCTCCATTGATGCGCCCTATACACATCCTCTACTTTATTCGGTACACAGCCAATCACTTGACAGCAGCTCAATGCATTTAGGGCTCATGTACGCTGCAGCTGATAAACTCACGTTTAGGAGCTTTTCTGCGTTTTTTCAGCAGCCCCTGAGCTCACCCTAATGTTTTCCTATGTGTCCGTGTACACATCTTCATTTACAGTCGTTTACAGGCATTTGAGTTTACAGGGTTTTTTAACGCAGAAAACTTGTGTTCAGCAGACGATTTTATCAGCGTTTCAAATGCAAAACGCTTGTAAGCGCGGCAAATCACATTTCTAAACGTTTGCGTCTGAAATTTTTTTTTTAAGTCTTCCAGTTCCCGATGCTGTCCAGAGCCTTTTTTCATCATGAAAAATGCATGCAAAGCGTTTTCAAGGTACTCAGATGGACAAAACACTGAACACAGGATGTTCCTACCAAGCTTGTCACACATTGTAATGACCAATTCACACCTCACCTCTCCCACCCTGGGACAAAAGATATGTTAAAGACCAGTTCACACCTCTGGAAACAAAAGATATGTTAAAGACCAGTTCACACCTCAGACCTCCCCCACCCTTGGAAACAAAAGATATGTTAATGACCATTCACACCTCAGACCTCTCCCACCCTTGGAAACAAAAGATATGTTAATGACCAATTCACACCTCAGACCTCTCCCACCCTTGGAAACAAAAGATATGTTTAATGACCCTTCACACCTCAGACCTCTCCCACCCTTGGAAACAAAAGATATGCTAATGACCATTCACACCTCAGACCTCTCCCACCCTGGGAAACAAAAGATATGTTAAAGACCAGTTCACACCTCAGACCTCTCCCACCCTGGGAAACAAAAGATATGTTAAAGACCAGTTCACACCTCAGACCTCTCCCACCCTTGGAAACAAAAGATATGTTAATGACCATTCACACCTCAAATTCCTCATAAAGACCCCCTGTCCAGGTGGCCTTAATGACTCCACCAGACACCTTTCCCCCCCCCTTGGAAACAAAAGAAATGTTAATGAGCAACTCACACCTAAGCTAATCTTAACACATACTGCTGTCTCTGCTTCTACTCTCTGTATTTCTCTGAAACAGTCTGAAATAGTTAATCATCTACCACTTTTCAGTGCATTCTGGGCATTTGGGAGGTTCTCCTGTGCTTATCTTTTAAAAAGCACTTCTAAATGCAAACGCACATAAATGCATTATGCAAATGCAGCTAAACAGATGTTTTTTAATAATCTACGTTTTCCAGCAGTCAGTTTCCATCGTTCAGAAGTGTCCCGTGTACATGGGGCCTTAGGCATCTAGATGTGGTGAAGACAACTTGCTGAAGTTCAAACTGAGCATCAGAATGGGGAAGAAAGGGGATTTAAGTGACTCTGAACGTGTCATGGTTGTTGGTGCCAAACGGACTGGTCTGAGTATTTCAAAAACTGCTGATCTACTGGGATTTTCAGATACAACCATCTCTAGGGTTTACAGAAAATGGTCCAGAAAAAGAGAAAATATCCAGTGAGTGGCAGTTGTGTGGAAGGAAAATGCCTTGTTGATGTCAGAGCAGAATGGGCGGACTGGTTCCAGATGATAGACAGCACTAACTCCTGTCAATATGGACCAAAATCTCTGAGAAATGTTTCCAACACCTTGTTGAATCTATGCCACGAAGAATTAAGAAAGTTCTGAAGGCAAAAGGGGGTCCAACCCGGTACTGGCAAGGTGGCCAATGAGTGTATAACTAATATACATTACAAATCTTGATCAATGATAAATACGTATAAAAGCTTCCAAGTAAAATGCAACGGTTACAAAAATGATGTTCACATTTAGGCTCCATGTACACGGGACACTTCTGAACGATGGAAACTGCTGGAAAACGCAGGTTAAAAAATATCTGTTTAGCCGCGTTTGCATACCGCGTTTATGAGCGTTTGCGTTTAGAAGCATTTTTTAAAGATAACCTCAGGAGACCTTCCAAATGCCCAGAATGCACTGAAAAACAGTACAAAATTAATTATTTCAGACATTTTGAGAGAAATAGAGTGAGCAGAAGCAGAGAGAGCAGTATGTGTTGAGATTAGCTGTCTTTTTTTTTTTTTTTGTGGTGTTTGGATGTTCCGGCTCATTTCTGTGCAGAAATTATTGCAGCAGCGTCTAACATATTTTCTTTCATGCAAAACCTCAAAGTATGGTGTACCGGGTCCATCTGAGTACCGGGGAAAACGCTTTGCATGCATTTTTCATGATGAAAAAAGGCTCCGGACAGAATCTGGAAATGGAAGAGTTAAAAAATGATCCAAATGCAAACGCTTATAAATGCGGTTAGCCGTGTTTACAAGCGTTTGGCATTTGAAACGCTGATAATATCTACTCCTGAACGCAAGTTTGGTGTGTTAAAAAAAAAAAAAAAAAAAAAAGCCTGTAAAGGACGATGTGTACACGGACACATAGGAAAACCTTAGGGAGAGTTCAGGGGCTGCTGAGAAAAAAACGCAGAAAAGCTAATACAGTTTTATATCTTGTAGGACCAATCTAGGTGTGGTCCAGCACCTTCTATCTCAGCAATGGGCAAACTACGGCCCGGCGGACCTTTTAATCCGGCCCGCGGAGCTAGGCTCCCTCTAGGCTCCTCTCACAGTCCGCCCTGAAGACCTGTGTAGCATGAAAATCTGTCTCCTATGAGGATCTGTCCCCCTCGACGTATCTGCGCATGTGCTGGAGATCGCCAATCGGCTGCTAATGCCTGAAACTGGCACATGCGCAGATACGTCGAGGGGGACAGATCCTCATAGGAGACAGATTTTCATGCTACACTGGAACGACGCGGGAACACGGCGAGAGGAACGCGCGGAGCAAAGGTAAGTGAATTGACACAGGGGGGACTTGGGGGATGAATTAAAATGGGGAATGAATTATATATGGGGGATGAATTACTATATGGGGGATGAATTACTATGGGGGATGAATTACTATATGGGGGATGAATTACTATATGGGGGATGAATTACTATATGGGGGATGAATTACTATATGGGGATGAATTACTATATGGGGGATGAATTACTATGGGGGAATTACTATATGGGGGATGAATTACTATATGGGGGATGAATTACTATATGGGGGATGAACTTACTATATGGGGGATGAATTACTATATGGGGGGATGAATTACTATATGGGGGATGAATTACTACAGGGGGGGATGAATACTATGGGGGATGAATTACTATATGGGGGATGAATTACTATATGGGGGAAATTACTATGGGGGATGAATTACTACAGGGGGGATGAATTACTATATGGGGGATGAATTACTATATGGGGGATGAATTACTATATGGGGGATGAATTACTATATGGGGGATGAATTACTATGGGGGATGAATTACTATATGGGGGATGAATTACTATATGGGGGATTTATTACTATGGGGGAATATTACTATACTTACTATGGATGACACATACACATCATTCATCTACTCTTGGTCCGCCCCCGGGTCCAATATAAGAACCCATTGCGGCCCTCAAGTCAAAAAGTTTGCCCACCCCTGTTCTATCTCTAACTCTCACATTTAGGCTCCATGTACATGGGACGTTTGGAAAACACTTCTGAATGATGTAAACTAACTGCTGGAAAATGCAGGTTAAAAAAAAAATCATCCGCGTTTGCATACCGCGTTTATGTGTGTTTTGCGTTTAGAAGCGTTTTTTAAAGATAATATCAGCAGACCTTCTGAAATGCCCAGAATACACTGAAAAAACAGTACAAAATTAACTATTTCAGACATTTTGAGAAGAATAGAGAGAGCAGAAGCAGGGAGAGCAGTATGTGTTGAGATTCGCTGTCTTTTCTGGTTGTATTCACTGAGCATAATGCGGCGCGTTCTACCATTTTTTCCTTCACGCGAAACCTGGAACTGACTGCGCTGGTGTGCCGGGTCCATTTGAATACATGGAAAACGCTTTGAATGCATTTCTGATGATGAAAAAAGGCTCCGGACAGCATCTGGATATGAAACCGTTAAAAAAACGCTTTTAAACGCAAACAGTTATAAACGCGGTTAGCCACGTTTACAATCGTTTGAAACGCTGATCAAATCTACTCCTGAGCGCATGTTTGGTGCGTTAAAAAAAAAAAAAAACCTGTAAACTCAACTGCCTGTAAACGACGATGTGTACAGTGGGGATGGAAAGTTTGGGCACCCCAGCTAAAAATTTGTATTAATGTGCATAAAGAAGCCAAGGAAAGATGGAAAAATCTCCAAAAGGCATCAAATTACAGATTAGACATTCTTATAATATGTCAACAAAAGTTAGATTTTATTTCCATCATTTACACTTTCAAAATAACAGAAAACAAAAAAATGGCGTCTGCAAAAGTTTGGGCACACCCTGCAGAATTTATAGCATGCACTGCCCCCTTTGCAAAGCTGAGACCTGCCAGTGTCATGGATTGTTCTCAATCATCGTCTGGGAAGACCAGGTGATGTCAATCTCAGAGGTTTTAAATGCCCAGACTAATCTGACCTTGCCCCAACAATCAGCACCATGGGTTCTTCTAAGCAGTTGTCTAGAAAACTGAAACTGAAAATAGTTGACGCTCACAAAGCTGGAGAAGGCTATAAGAAGATAGCAAAGCGTTTTCAGATGTCAATATCCTCTGTTCGGAATGTCATTAAGAAATGGCAGTCATCAGGAACAGTGGAAGTTAAAGCAAGATCTGGAAGACCAAGAAAAATATCAGAGAGAACAGCTCGCAGGATTGTGAGAAAAACAATTCAAAACCCACGTTTGACTGCGCGATCCCTCCAGAAAGATCTGGCAGACACTGGAGTTGTGGTCACTATTCCACTATAAAGAGATACTTGTACAAATATGGTCTTCATGGAAGAGTCATCAGAAGAAAACCTCTTCTACGTCCTCACCACAAAAATCATCGTTTGAACTTTGCAAATGAACATATAGACAAGCCTGATGCATTTTGGAAACAAGTTCTGTGGACCGATGAGGTTAAAATTGAACTTTTTGGCCGGAATGAGCAAAGGTACGTTTGGAGAAGAAGAGGCACAGAATTTAATGAAAAGAACCTCTGTCCAACTGTGAAGCATGGGGTTGGATCAATCATGCTTTGGGGTTGTGTTGCAGCCAGTGGCACAGGGAACATCTCACGAGTAGAAGGAAAAATGGATTCAATAAAATTTCAGCAAATTTTGGATGGTAACTTGATGCCATCTGTGAAAAAGCTGAAGTTAAAGAGAGGATGGCTTCTACAAATGGATAATGATCCTAAACACACCTCGAAATCCACGGGGGATTACATCAAGAGGCGTAAACTGAAGGTTTTGCCATGGCCTTCACAATCTCCTGACCTCAACATCATTGAAAATCTATGGATAGACCTTAAAAGAGCAGTGCGTGACAGACAGCCCAGAAATCTCAAAGAACTGGAAGACTTTTGTAAGGAAGAATGGGCAAAGATACCTCAAACAAGAATTGAAAGACTCTTGGCTGGCTACAAAAAGCGTTTACAAGCTGTGATACTTGCCAAAGGGGGCAGTACAAGATATTAACTCTGCAGGGTTTTTTGCAGACGCCATTTTTTTTGCTTTCTGCTATTTTGAAAGTGTAAATGATGGAAATAAAATCTAACTTTTGTTGACATATTATAAGAATGTCTAATCTGTAATTTGATGCCTTTTGGAGATTTTTCCATCTTTCCTTGGCTTCTTTATGCACATTAATACACATTTTTAGCTGGGGTGCCCAAACTTTCCATCCCCACTGTACG